CAAACTACTTGCTAAATTGGTTTCTGTTTGCTTTTAAATTATACAAACATGCTAAAATGCAGATTCTTACAGCAACAGAAAATTCAGGAAATCAAGCAACGAGAACGTGTGACTGTACGCTTTGAAATATTTTTATTTTCTCGGAGTTCGCCGGTTCGGGCGTAGTTTCATTTCACGCGTACGTTTCTGTTTTGGCTCTGATATTTATAATATGCTTATAATATGCCAGTGAATTGTTCTGATATGGACACGGTATAAATTTTTTAAACAGATGTCTCAAAAGCGACTGTTTATAGGTCGTAGTGGTCGTAGGATTAGCGCCTGGTCTTAAACGTGACACATTTGGACACAAGCCAAATACACATTGAATGTCTATTTTATTGATTCTAAAACTGTTTATAGACATATTGCTCTAGATTTTTTTTAAAAGATTATCATCGTTTATGTTAAACACCAGGAAGACAAAATATAACGTACAAAATTGTTTGAAATCGACAGTGCACAGCTGTCATACGACAATTCACAACTGCATGAATTTCCTTTTTTGTCGATCTGCATGAGTACCAACCTCGTTCCCAGGGTATTTGCTCTTGGGAAGCAAAGACCCTGGTGGACGCTGGTCACGTGATCTGCTAAAATCTAGCAGATTTTTAATTAGCGTTGTTTTGTCAATCTGGGAGGGGTAGGAATGTAGTAGTTGACATTCGCCAGATGCATTAGTGCTGTATACTCACTTTACATGTATTAATAAACATGATTTATACTGTTCTAAATTCGTACTCATCATGACAAGATTTCCTGCTATATTGAATGTCATCAATAACCACAGAATAAGGCACAATAACAAGTGCTGCGGTACATTTCAAGCGAGAAGCTGGATCATATTTCACTTGCAAGGAAAAATATACTCCACACGCGCCTGGCTAGTGAGCACGCATCAGATCGCCGTATAAATATCTGATATCTTCTACACCGACTGATCGATCAAACGGTATTTATATAAAACGAACGATATGATATGGTTGTTTATAGTTGAAATGTATCCTGTCCGATATTCAAAACAAAGGATTTATTTTATAACGGGATCCTTTGATTTCCCAACTGAAGTACTGAATATCGCCAACTGTGTATATAAAAACAATAGTGCTGTTTTGACTGTGAATTACAGTAAGCACAGGATTAAAACCCGTTACTCCTTTTATTTACATTGCTGAAACAGCTCAACGATCAAGAATGATATATGTCGAAGTACAGCTACAGTATACTGTTATCACACGCCAAGACTCCTCGGTGCGTGCGGTACAACTTGAATACGATATATGCACTAGACTAAATTATATCATATATTGCAGTAAACATTATAAATCTTATAAAGACCTTTCATTGGCATTGGTATTAATGCCCAGGCATTATTTGAAGAATAATCCAACTTAAAATCCAGCTTCTTTCGACTTGTATAATGCCGCTGTCATCAATATTTAAATCAACTTTAAGTCTTTAATCTTTATCGTATATACCCCTATACTGTGTCGTAACTGTAATTGAAATTTTAGACGTTTCACCAAACGATACTTCGTAACTGTAAGCAAACAACCTATCTATCAGTATCAATAGAAACTTTAAAAGGCTTAATAAAACTCATTAAGTAATTCTATGAACGAGACTTGGTGCGCATATACAGTTTATGAATTATGTATATATAAATATATATCCCTGATAAAACGTATAGGGACACTTCGTACTAGATATAATAACAAATACTTTGCTAAATCTTTTCGGATATCATTCCTTTGCATTCAGGGTGGGAGGGTGAATGGCGATAGCTATAATTTATTATAGGAGATTCTGTGCAATATTTTGGCTCAAACAGGTAGTCGTGAAGACAAAAAAGTGCACTGTCGAGTGTCGATTCCAAACAATTTTGTCAGTCGGTTTTGATACCTCTATTTTACAAAGTTTATACCGTTTCCTTTTTATATGACAACAATTCAATGGCATATTATAAGAATATTGTAAATATCTGAACCAGAGGCAGAGCCAGGACAGAAACGTACGTATGAAATGAAAATATTGCGCCCGAAGCCCCGAACCCCGAGAGAATATTAAAAACGCAAATATTTCAAACCATACGGTCATACGTTTTCGTTGCTTGATTTGCTGACTTGTCTGTTAGTACAAGAATCTGCATTTTACCATGTTTGTATAATTTAAAACGGCAAACAGAAACCAATTTAGCAAGAATTTTGAAGAATATATGATTCTCAAAGATTATTGTACAGCACGACCACTTCTTGCAATCGAAGTGTGAAGTGCGGAAGTGGAAACATGTAATATGAGACCTTTCCATCCCCCTCTGAGGCTATCAATTTTCTATGGGTCACGTGACCAGCGTCCACCAGGGTCTTTGCTTCCCAAGAGCAAATACCCTGGGAACGAGGTTGCATGAGTACCTGTTTGTTGAAGCCAAAATATTGCACAGCATCTCCTATAAATTCTATCGCCATTTACCCTCTCCCCTTAAATGCAAAGGAATGACAGAAAAGGTTTAGCGGAGTATTTTTTATTACATCTGGTATAAAGTGTCCTACGTTTTATCAGGATATACACTAGAAAATACATGCATGCAGAAACCCTCGCCTTGTTGACAAAACCATTGTATTTTCCGAACATGAAGTATCTATAGTTGTTGTCATGGTAACACGATAATTTTTTAAGACTATTTTTACAAATGAAAATTTCCCTATAAATATCACTTTTAATTACAAAATTATCAATTTCCTAAACATATATATGTTAGGTATATGTTATTATACGTAATATAAGCTAGAATTTAAGGTAAAATTCAACCACAAACGCTTCGCAAAACGTTTGAAAGTGTTCTTTTAATATAGAACTAAACTGCCTTTATCGATAAACTTTGAGTTCGAAATAAAATGATTCCAAATTCCCCCATGTAAATAACTTTGCTTAGTATAATAAAAAGTGTAATCAATAAAGAAACACTGAAATAATACGCTGTCTTGTTTCATATTTTATATACGCAACGATCGGCTTTTAAAGTAATTACAGCCGAGATTACAGTATATTAAAAGCAAACAATGCATCAATATTTAAAACAAACTTACCTTCGTTAACGTCGGCAACTTTACTTCCTTCTTTTAGCAATCCTCTTGCCTTTATTTCATCAAAAATCCTTTGCAATTCACAAAATCTTGCAAAAATGAAATATATTTGCAAGAAATCATCAAATCAATTTCGCTGTCGTCAATCGTCATGCAGCCGTTATATATAATGCCAATTTTAAATTGGACCAATCAGTGTTGCCTATTCATTACAGTCCGCTATATTATGAGATCAGTGAGGATGACCACCCACCGAAACACGCACAGTGACCCACGCCCGCGAAATTTGATGAACTTTAGACTTCGCTAATGCTTTCGTTTCCCCGGGTGTAAATAGCCGGGGGGAATTAGTACCCTCGCACGGCGCTTCGCGCCGTCGGCTCGGGGATAATTCATAAACTGTATATGCACACGAAGTCTCGCTTATATTAATGAGTTTTACTGTAACAAACCTTTTAAAGTTTCCATTTATAGATAGGTTGTTTGCCTCCAGTATTGTTTAGTAAAACAGACTAAACTTCTAAAATATTGGTTACGGAATACGATAAATATTAAAGTTGATTTAAATATTGATAACTCACAGCGGCATTAATCCATTATACAAGTCTAAAGAAGCTGGATTATTCTTCAATAAAGCCCTCAATGGACAATGCCAATGTCAATGAAAGGTCTAATATTATACATGTTGCAAATTACTGTATACACAAAATATGAAATAATTTATATAAAGTACAATACCAGTGTCTGGTGCATATATCGTCGTAGATATTCAAGATGTACCGCACGCACGGAAACGCACGGAGGAGTCTTAGCGTTTGTGTGATAACAAATAGCTAGCTACACTTCGACATTATCTTTCTTGATCGTTGAGTTTCAGCAATGTAAATGAAATGAATCCTGTGCTTTTACAGTCAAAATAGCACTATTGTTTACACATGTTGGCGATGTTAAAGAAATCAAAGGATCCCGTTATAAAATACATCTTTTGTTTTGAATATCGGACAGGATACACTTCAACTATAAAGAACCATATCGTTCGTTTAATACCGTTTGATCGATCAGTCTGTGTAGAAGATATGTATGTTTTTACGGCGATACGTGCTAAACTTCGCAAGCCAGGCGCGTGTGGAGTGTTTTCCTTGCAAGTGAAATATGATCCAGCTTCTCGCTTGAAATGTAACGCAACACTTATTATTGATGACATTCAGTATAGCAGGAAGTCTTGTCATGATCAGTACGAATCTAGAACGTTCCTTTCACAATCTATTGTTGCAAATTACATTTTTATCACCCGAAATTATAACATAATAAAGTTGCAATTTTCAAAACGCAACAAACACGCTCCTCTACCTCCCGACCCATAGTCATATTATACGTTTACCCCCAGAATCTGGGTGTGACGTCATCAGCCCCGACCAGGGTCTTTGCTTCCCAAGAGCAAAGAGCCTGGGAACGAGGTTGGGACCCCCTGTCCTCACCCCCTCGCAATATGTTCTCCACCCCTTCCGAGAGGCATCCGTCTCGATTGTAAGCTCGACAGGATGCTGAAACAGAGCCCGGCCATTCCATGCATGGAGATGTCTCCCCACCAAAGAATCTCTTCTCTGGCTGGCTGGCTGGCTGGCTGGACTAAAGCAACCTGGGCTTCGTAGGTTTCAAGGGAGGCTAAAGTTGTATTTTTTAGCCTTTGAAGATGCCTGTAATGAATAGGAGCAGGGAATATTGCCTGAATGGAGGAGGTTAGGAGGCCCAGGAATTTCGACAATTCTCGTACAGAAATTGTCGTTTGCTCTAACAATTTCTGACACTTTCTGCGGATTTTTCGCAACTTTTCTCCTGGGAGTTGGAGTGTCATGGCGTTTGAATCTATCAAAAACCCTAGAAATTCCATCTCTTGGTTGTGACTTCTGGTAATTTACTATGAAGCCTAGCCCCTAGGAGATTCAGGGTTGGGGCTGCATGATGTAATGCTAGATCGTGAGATTCGGCCATAATTAGGATATCGTCTAAATATATAATTAGGCGAATACCTCTTTGCCTCAATGCCCCTACTACCGGCTTCATGAGCTTGGTAAAAACCCTTGGCGCTGTCGCCAAACGAAAGGAAGGCATGCAAACTCCAGCACGGTGTCCTTCCAAAGAAACCGAAGATATTTTTGGTGGTTCTTCCAAATTGGCACTGTCAGGTAAGCATCCTTGAGGTCGATTTTCACGAGAAAATCTCCCTTCTTTAATAGATCCCTTAACATGTGGATGCCCTCCATCTTGAAATGCTCGTAGGCTAGAAACTGGTTCAGTTGTTTTAGATTTACTACCGGACGATTCCCCCCATCCTTCTTGGGCACCACAAAGATAGAACTTATAAATCCTGGCTTTGGGGATTGTACTGGATGAATTGCCTGTTCATCAACAATTATTTTACCTCTTGCTCCAACACAGTCTCTTGTGTTGAAGAAAATAATGACTGTTGCACTGGAGGAGTTACAAGTTCTATCTGGTAACCCTGGATGACCTGCAGGATCCAAGGGTCCTGTGTGATCATTTCTCATGCGGGGTGAAAAACTTTAAGCGCCGCGTTTGAGGTATATTTTGAGTCAAATTGACCTGAAAAAGTTCTGAAAACATACCTTTGGGTAAACAATCTGGTCTGAATTTCTTTATTGGTGGAACGACGTGTAAGTCTGGGGATTTGTAAATCTTGGAAATGAGCCACGGCCTCGGTTTCTGTTCCCCCTGTTGAACATGGTCCCTCTGGGACTGAATGGGCGAAAGGTCTTGAAGTTGAATCCTTGTCGGCCCCCACGAGGTCTGTGGAATCTCCTGGAGGCCGTCCCACGAAAAAAGGGGTTCCCTGCTCGAGATGCTTTCCCGATAGTCTCTGCAGTCTCAGATCTTGTTTTGAGCCGTTGCTCAAAACCTGATCCAAACAAATTCCGATTTGTATCAGAGAACTCTTCTTGAGCTAACGACACCATTAGGGGGTTTATTTTTTTCAATACAAGTTCCCGACGATTTGTGGAAATTCGAGCAACTGCATCTCCAGTTAACAGCAATGAATGTTTGAGACACTCCTGGAAGCTACGAACACCAGTAGCATCCAGTTCAACCACCCCATCAGATGTCATGGTGCTTTCCACGGATAACAAATTTTCATATGCTGTACACCGAGGACCAAATACATCTAGAACACTAGCCTGTAAATCTTTATGCGGTTTATCAGGTGTTGCTACTCCGTGGATGAAAGGTTTTAAATATTCATCCATCGCTGGCGTGTACACAGCGTCCACGTTTGGTCTTGGGTAAGTTTTGACCAAAATATTTCTCTCAAATTTATTTAACCGTTTTACAGCTGTTTCGAGAAACTGCAATAAAGTCGCACTAGCTTGCCATGGAGAGTTTGGAGAGAGAATGTTCTCTATTTCTAACTCCTCCAACTCATAATTAACATCAGCGTCAAAATTGACATCGTCTGAGCTTCAAACTCGCCTAGCGCCAACATGGTCATCGTCATCTAGCCGTATTACAGGCGTACGCCCTCGCTTAGTAGCTGTACCCGACCTATCGTATGATACGGTGGGATTTGATTGCTCTTTTGAACCCGTTTGGTCGTATGATACTCCGGGAAGAGTCCGATTATGTGTACCCATTTGATCTTGAGATACTCCGGGATTTTGAACATCTGCTTGGCCTTGAAGCACTGCAGAGTTTTGCTTTAACAATTGCGGAGCCATTTGTGCCATAATCGCTGAAGAAAGTTTCGCAATAAAACCTTGATCGGCCACTACGGCCTGAACAAGGTCCATCCTACCTTCCATTGAGTCTTCACGCATCGATGGATCAGGATTAACAACATTTTCCAATTCTGAAATATTTTCTTGCTCCGCCATGCTTGTAGTCTCCTACGCATACTTACTTAGCGGGCTGTGCCCTCACGTAAGGTATGCTTACTTTGGCCAAGAATTCCTTTCCTCAAAATTAGCCAATCACAGCTTTACCCACGAAATTTTGGGGCTTGACGTTGAGGCTTGGGTCATCAAAAGTTTCAAAATATTTAATCTTGAACATTTCATATCTTCATTTGTACGTATTCATATCTTAAACCGATTTATATCTGCGAGAGTGAGAGATATATTTGTTATACATATACCAGTCTACAAATTTACAATATGGAACAATTGTAAAATCTGTTAGATTTGTCAAATCTGTTTGTCGAGCTATTGTTTTGAACAGACAGTGTAGTAAAATCGAACAATTAATATCACCTAAAATATTTCGCGATGTTTTGATTACTTTACAAGCCTTTGCAGGTGTTACTGTAACACGGGTAATATACTGGACAAAGACGCCAAGACAAAGTTATAAAGTTACAGTGTACATTACTGCGGACGTATCCAGATTATTTTATAAATACTAATTGAAGATTACAGAATTCAGCCTATATAGAATATTTAATTGATTCATTGCATATTTCGGTTTCTAAGTTTGTATATGACTAGCCAGTTTATAAAGTTTAATAAAATCGTAATTACAAAAGTCGCTCTGATATTGAACGTTCGGAAGCTTATAGTATATATTGAATATATATTGCGTAACGCAGTCGCAGTCAAGTTCAAAACAAATATTACCAGTTTTATATACATTTACTTCGACTTATCGCGTACATTCGTTGGGAAAATATTCAATATTTTTTTACTTCGACTGCTATTGATCAGAAAACTCGATCTGTTCACATTTATGGCCACTTATTAAATATGTATATATATTTTAAAATATTAGAGAGGTTAAGATACCCCGATTCCGGTTTATGGGTACGGGTGATATACACGTACCCGTACCCGTAAATCGGGGAATAACTTGTAACTTAACGGAGTATCCGGGGTGAGAAAACCGATTAGAGAATGGCAACTTTCGCTGTTGAGGTTCGCTGTAAGTCGTTGAAAACTTTGACCAGCATATGTGCATTATTTATTTGGGTAAGATGTTGAAAATTTGTACTATTTAAACGGCCCAAAAATAGTAAACAGAAGACACCCGTACCCGTTTGTCGTTTACGTGTAGACCATGATTTACCGCGGAGAACCGGGTAGAAATTACGGGTAAAATTGCTGACATCAGTAAAAATTGGTAAACAAAATGGCGATACTCGTACCCGTAAACCGGAACCGGGGTATCTTAACCTCTCTATTATTTGATTATCGCACGCTCCTTGTTTACACTTTACAGTTGACATTCAAAGTGGGCGTGTATAGTGTATTTGAGTGCTATTGGCTAATGGAATACAATGAGAAGGCGAATTGCTTGCCAAAGTAAGCAGACCGTACGTGGCGGGCCCAAACCCGCTAAAGTAGGTCTGCATAGGAGTGAGGACCATGCTTGAGGAGTGAACAAAAAAGACGAATGGAGGGCGCAGGTCAGCGGTGATGTTAGGATGGACTGAGAACGTTATTTTGTTATAGTTATAGTTTATATAACTTAAATTCACTGTAAATACGTTAAAAAGGAGTGAATAATGAAGATAATGCATTGTTAAATTCGTCGAGTATCTTGAAATATAATTAGCTTATATATATTCAAATCTCATGTAATTTTATCTAGTCTGAAGATGTCTTAAGTTAAAGACGAAACGTTACAATAAAAATTCTTTAAAATGTTAACTGTTTTAATGGCTTTGTTAAATGGCTATGTTGGGCTCTCATATTTATCATAAGTACTCCATAAGCGCTTAACTTTTGCAATAAAAGCTGGTGGTCAATCAGGTCAAACGCTTTGCTGTAGTCTACGAAAACAACGCCAGTAACGTGACTTTCATCTAGGTCAAGAAGGATTGCTCTAGTAGGCGGATTAGAGCAGTTTCAGTCAAGTGGCGTTTGCGAAAGCCAGATTGCAGGCCGTATAGGAAATTGTTATTGGATAAGTGTGAATATAGTGCTTCGTAGAGATGTCTTTCGTATAGTTTTGAGAGGATCGGAAGAACAGATATTGGTCTGTAATTTTGTTTGTGTTCTACACGTCCTTGATTCATAAAAATAGGGGTGACATTGGCTACTTTCCATCTGGATGTGAAGGTGTTGGTGGATATGCAATGGTTTATGAGACGTGCGACTGAGCTTGATATGGATGGAGCAGCAATTTTCAGTAATTTAGGACTCGATCCATTAGCACCTGTTGCTTTATTTGCTGGCATAGAATTTAGCATTTGAAGCACCTTTTCTGGAGAAATATGTGGAATTAATTAACTCGCAACTGTATTTCCCATAACTGTATTTACATAATGGGAATCTTCCAGTTGACCGCCTATCAGAGAAATTCTGGGGCCCCGGGCAAAATTTTTTTTTGGGGGGGGGGCTATTTTTTCCGGGGGGGGATTTTTTCCCGGACATTTAAAAAAGTGTCAAAAAAATTTTTCCCGACTAACATCAGTTAAGTTAAGGTTCAAAAAAATTTTTCCGGATAAATCCTTGTTAAATTACATTGGTAAAACCTTTTTTGGACCAATTCTGCAAAATTTAGGTTTAGAAAATTTTTTCTCACCATTACTTATATCAAAAAACGTTCCAAATTATTTTTTATTTTCCAAATTTGGGGGACCCCCTTTACACTGCGGGCCCGGGGCAAATTGCCCCCTCTGCCCCCCCCCCCTCTGATAGGCCCTGTAATGACCGCACAGTCCTTGATTTTGACAAAAAAAACAGTCCATTAGCAAATTTGCCCCCTCCCTTCACAAATATAGTAGTTGTGAGCCAAATGTTACATGTGCAGCAGTGTTGAAAAGTTTACTTTGTGGTTGTGCTGCGAACACACGACCACCATTACGGTCTGGTTCAAGTTTTCTTTTGTGAAGTTGGCACAGTAGCGGTTGTGTAATTCCCCAAATTTCTGGGGGGTTTTAAAATTTAATATTTTGTTTTTTATGAATAGGGAAATGGAGATGGCGACTTTCACAGAGAAGCAGAGGTTAACCAAAAACAAGAAAACAGGTATACATATAACATTAGTATAGTGTATTCTACTTTTATACACTTAATGTCTGCTCCCGAAGGAAATATAGTCTAAACAAGTTAAAAAAGAATCTACTGAAATGGTTTCAACAGCATATCCTGTTACCTGTTGTTTATTCCCCCCCCCCTTCTACATTCTTTATTTTACAACATTGGAAAATCGTAGTTCATAAATTTGCGAGTTTGTTTGTTATGTACGTAGCCGGTCGGGGGTGGGCAACAATTTTGCACTCGTTGTCGGGCTGTATACATTACATTTATCTATAGCCTCGTGACTACAAGTTAGCCAATCACGTTTTGGTGTTCACCCTAGCTATATAACAACACTTGTTTAGTTGTTATTTTAGGAAAAGTCATTATACTCCTTTGCGTTTTTATGAAACATTCTGATTTCCAAGATAGTTTATTACTAGAAACTGTTGCTTTTCCTACAAACCGATTGGTCGAAATTGTGCGACTAAAAATCCTATTGTCCCCACCTGCAGGCAGCTATCACTTTTTTCGAAATGGCTTCTTTGGAGCTGCTAAATTTAAAAGAGAATCGGTTTTAAAGCACGTTTTGAAGTAATTGAAATAAAAAAGACAGCTATCTTCAAGAAGAATTATTATTATTAATATTTTTGAAAGTGAGCGATAAGCAAATACACTATTTTTGGATTTTGCTCGAAATTCGTGTAAACATTTTAATACAACCCAGCCACTTTTGTTTTTGTTTGTTAAATTTGTCTTCCTTTTATCTTCATTTGTATTGTCATGTTCGGCGAAAACTTTGGTATGTAAAACCATGTTTTATTTTGTATTTGAGCTCTTCCAAAACATTTTTCTCACAAAATTTTTCGTTTTTGTTTTACTTCAATATGTTTTTGAACTCGTTGTGTTTCTCTAAGCAAACCATAAACTGAAACTTAATGAGTTTCGTTGACATTTACAGTGCATCTCTATGTTTTTATCTTCTATAAATCTATGTTCCTCTGATAAATTATTTAATTTTGTATTTCCGACTGGTTAAATAGGCAGTGTCATGGGAGTGTCACCGAATTTGACCATCGCAAATCTTTAGGCACAAAACCTAAAAAGAATGGTTCACAACATAAAACAATAACAAATACAAAAAGCATGTACAGAAGTCTCGATGGTTGAGATTAGGCGAGAACTGAGCTGGATTGTAAATGACATCTTGATCAATTGTTGGCAGACACGTACTTTTCAAGTTTAGGTCAATTTCTATGAAAGTTCAAAGTTGTTTAATATGACTCGTGTACAGGGCGCGGGGAAATCTTCTCTGGGGGCCCCATGACATCATTATTTTTAAGTCAGATCTAAGTCAGTCGTCCAACTAGACCTTAGCTATATATATAGACTGCATGTGGAGCAACTGTAAGGGGCCCTCGATTTCAAAACGTCTCTGACCAAGAAGAACCTACTCAATTCTGGGCTCTATCTCTCAAGTTGGGGACCTATTAAGGTGGTGGCCCTGGACAATTTGCCTCCCCCCTCTCGGCGGCCCTGCTCGTATATCTTAACTGATTTGTAATGTTTATTTTCAAATTCGCATACCCCTTTAATTTGAGTATGATTGTTTTGTTTTGAATATGTATATTGTTTTTATCGCAAAGCCGTTGGCGAAAAACTTAACCGGGGGCTGAGAAAAATGCTGAATTTTGAACTGTAGCCTTTTAAGTTGATTCTATTATTTGTGTCTTGGTCACATGCAGTTTGTATAGGTGACGTGATGGTTTTGAGTGCAATTTGGATAAAAAATGCACGAGTGAGTTTTTAAAGAGCATCTTTGGCGAAACATGGAACGATAACCAAAAGGTCTTTGAAAAATTGAGGTCTTTGAAAAAATCACTTTGAAGAAATGATCTTATTACCAATTAATAATATACATAAAAATTGTAGTTCTAACTCACGTTTATAGCGAACCATGCATCCATTGTCAAAGATTTCCTGCTTCGTTATATCTCATTACATGCACAACGCTAACGGCTTGAAAATTTCTCTCAATTATGTAAATTTTGTTAATTTTGTTTAAAGGTAAAGTCTTTTCCATTTAGAAAAAATAAATACCATATTATTTTCCACACGAACTTTTTACTTATGTAGCGCGGTCGCCATGTTTGTTTTGTTTTGAAGCAATGTGTGACCATTACTTGACGACCCTGCTTTAAGCTCATTGGTTGATTTTAGATCCCATTGTTTTTTCCGCCAATGAGATAAGTTTGTTACAGATTTTTGCACTGTTACGGATTTTTACACTGTTGATACAGAATGCGGCACTGCTGTTTGAGATTAACTGCACTGAAATCAACCAATCACAGTCGAGTAATATTTTTACGTATATTATTACTACTGATACAATTAGTCGCATCAGGGCTCATAATCGCCTCGCTTTCAGCGACCATATGTTCATTGTCCTGACAGCGTTCCTGTTTGATTGGTTTTGAGCATTTGAAATCTACTTGGACCAACAACTACGTCAATATACAGAATTGAGAACGAACTTTTAGCAGAATTAATGTTTGGCAAAAATAGTAAAACACCCAGGAAAACTGGAAAATCTTCCTTTAGTCATCACAAGCCCACAAATATTTTCAATTTCTTATTTGGCTTATGCATTATTTTTCTCTTTATATTTAGAAGTTCAATAAACAATGCTGATGGGAAAACTCTAACTGTAGTTTTCCATGCAATATTATCTAAAAAATTTGAATTGGGTGATAGGATTATTGTAATTCGTGGAGATGAGCCTGTTTTTGCAGGTGGTTGGGATGGACGTGGTGTTCCTGTCATTCAGGAAGGGTTAGTAAATCATATACAGAATGACTTGAATAACTGAATGAACGAACTTTAGGCGCCCTGGTGGGAATTGAACCTGCACTCCTGCAACCCTGTAATTCTGTTCCAGCACTTTAACCAACACTGTAGCTCAGTTAGTTAGACAGCTGTGGCGAAATTGCAGGGCCGCAGGTTTCGATTCCTGCCAGAAGACATGTACATGGCGTATAAAAAAGGTAGTCAATTGTAAAATGGTCATGAAACTGGAAACTCCACAAAGTGTCTTTAGAATTTACTATGTGAATACAGGATCTTCTGATTTTTCTAACATTTAAATCTTCTAAAACTTAAAAACCCACATTGAAAGTGGTTTGCGCACAAAAGTGGACACAGGTGTAAAGCACATTAATCAGTTTTCGCCAAAATGTTAAGATTCTTTTTAAGGTTGTATACGACGTCACTTCCTAATCATGCATTTATACCAAATTGTATGTAGAATAAATGTGGAAAACATCTCTTTTTGAGGCCAAGAAACTCCCATTGTTGAAAGAGTTATATTTGCCGAAAGTATATAAGTTTATGATTAGTTTCAACACAAAGTGTCCGTGCATGCGAAAGTTCCAAAGATGCAACATTCTTACGTTTTATTAAACGAAATATATCAACGAATTCAGACCCTGCTTTTTTGTTTTTCTAACTAGAGTAAAGCTACACTCGTGTTTTTTAGTAACATGGTCCATGCCAACAATGAATGGTCAAATAAGCTCATCCTTAATTGTTGGTTGTTTAATTACTTAGAGCAAAATTTAAAATGCCTGCATCTTACTTTAGATTTTTGCAAAATTGAAAAGGTGCCTGGTGCTATTAACATACATGCTACTATATGACAATAATTCCAGCCTGAGCTTAGTTTTATCATGTTAACGTTTCAAATTCTCCTGGCTAAAATTTCTTTCTTGGCTAAACCAAGGCCGGGTTGCCTTTCGTCGCCAACCCCCCGTGACATTTTACCTGCAGTCATGGCTTTTGTTTGTCTGAATCTCAAGTGAGCCTTGTATATATCAATTATGATATGCATTTTAATTTGTGAAGTGTTGACGGAATCAGATCTGTTGTATGGTGAACACTTGTTAGTTTGTCCCCCCAGAAACTTTCCTTGTAATAGACCTTATGCATAATGACGTCACAAGGCTTGATGCCCGCGAGGAATGCTGGTCTTAGTAGTCATCGGCCGGGAAAATTAAACAATTCGAAATTTTCCCGGTCGATGACTACTAAGACCAGCATTCCTCGCGGGCATAAGGTCTATTGTAACACAATTTCCGCCCAAGCTAATTGTGTTTTTAACACGCAATTCTACACAAATTGTGTAGTTCTAAATAAATTTGTGCATGCAATTCTAAAAATACAAATGTGCATGCAGTCACAAAGTTCTCTTAAAAATATTCTTGTGGTTTATCTTGCGGACGTTCCAGAAAATGCCCAAAAGCAATTATTGAGCATCAAAAATATAAACATTTTCTTTGGGGCCATCGATTTCAACTGATTTTTTCGTTTTGCGAAAAAAGTTTACGACATGAATAATCTTGTTTTCACTATATCGTGTATAAGGTGGGAAGGTAGAGAAATGTATGTTTAGTATTTTTTTTAGCAAAATTTACTGTGCTTGTTTAGACATTTCGACAAACAATTGCTGTTACGCGGGGAGATTAAGATTCCATTACGGCTTGCCTCGAGGAGATGTGGATACAAATATGTATTATTGGATAAGAGGAATGAAGCTACCCATGAAGAGCTAGTTGAATTCAAGTCTCGTGGAGGCATTTTAGACCGATGCCTTGTCATTGGAGAAGAATATGTTGCAGAAAAAAGTAAGTTAACTGAATAATTTCATGCATAATTTTGTGATACCAAAGATACCTCACCCCAACTACAAAAAGGTATCATGCGTAAAAAGATTGATTTTGAGGCAATTTAAAGTTACCATGTGTTTTTAGTGCAAAGTTGCTTTGCACTATTGTTGGACAAAAATTCAATCGAGTGACCGATCAATCGATAGAGTAAACAGTCCGGAATAGAAAGGAATACGTAATTGGCTCAAGTAGCGATGAAGTCATTAGAGACCTTACGATTTTATGACGGCAACGCGAAGACGATGGCCAAAACAAACTCTTCCAAATAAATGGTATAGTAAAGATAATTCGTCATATATTATCAATCGTATGAATTTAATACAGTCTTAGAAGTTGAAGACATAGGTTTTATGGCTGGGAAGAGTTCTGCTAAACCTAGTTTGACGTTGCATGCACTTGTTGCGGCTTGAAATGCAGCCGTTGTATCAAGACGTGAAATGATTTGGCGTTGTAAACAGACCGAAGGACAATGTCTAAATTATTCATATATTCTAATTATTCAATTCTTTTCAACGATTTATTGTATTGGTAGCCGTTGCCGTCCTAAATCGAAATGTCTCTATTAAGCTTCGGATACACGAGCAATATTTTTGCTGCGATGGTTACGCAATGGTTGATAACAGTATTGCGTTGCCGTCGCACAAGGTGGCTACACCTGCATTATTTCACCTGCAATGTATGTCTTCATAACGCATTTCATTGGCTGGTCAAGAAACGTGTCATTCATCAACCTTGACCTTCCTTGATTACACCTCCCAATTTCATAGAGATTCCCAGCAGCCTTTCGCGCTCGTATTCGACTTTTCCGCTTTGTTCGTGGACAACCTTAATTGAAATAGCTGTATACAAATAACCTTGTAAATACGACAATGTTCGTTGATCATGTTCGATGTCTACATAACCAAATTCAAACTTTATTAAAAATGTGCTCAATTAATAAACTTTATATGCAAATTTACGATACCGAGTCTGAGCACTGGTCGTATAATCGTTGATGTTATTTATCAGTATACTCGCAAGTTGTGATCAACACTAGACAATACTGGTATACACAACTACGCTTTCTATACTTGACAGGTTTAAGTAGCTTAGGAGATTGGAAATATTTGCCTGACATGACTGTGCTGTCAAAACATTTTCAGTCAGAGACTCGGCATAATTTTCAAGCTTCTAAATAGCATTTAATATGGCTTTATATTTTAGTGAACACGAGTCATATTTACCCCGTTATTCCATTCTGACCGTATGGTAGCGAAACGTCTGCCTCGTACCCAGGCGTCTCTTTGTAAAAAAACAGTGATGCGCATATGACGAGTTTACATGATGTATTGTAGTGGGGAGAGATGGGCGAAAGGGCTGATGGGAAGAGTGCACTTGAAGTGCGAGACGGCGGAGACGCCTGGCAGTTCTTGGTCGATTTCTTGCAAGAAAGTCGATTTCTTGCAAGTTGTGCTTGCTCGTTGTCGTTTACGATTTTTTGTTACTTGTTTTTGTTGAATTGACTAATGCTAATATTCTTCTGTCATCTGGGCGTGAATTCATGTTGTTATTCCTGGTATATATGACATATGCCATTTTTTAAAGTCCATGGAAATTGCAATATTAACATGTCAACATCCGAAGCGTTGAAGGACTAGACTTGCAGGAACTAGATTTGTAAGCTATAACTATATAAAGGTACAAACTATAAAGTTGCACTGTTGTAAATAAATATTTCAAACTTTACGGCTGTGGACTTTTATTTACTTGGGCTTTTGTTGACTTTGTTCACAGTATACATTTTAATTAATAGAAATTGCCATTGGATGGCAATGATTGCCATTGTGATCGACTGATCGAGCCTTCAGCTAAAGACGTTATTAATACAAAAGAAATTATATGACTTTCTAATCATTTCTCTGTTACTGTTTTATACTAAGCAACTGATAGCATTCTATTATTCTCCATGTAATACCGAATGACATGCATATTCGAAATATTCGCACGGTTAACTTGCCATGTAATTTACTCATAATTTTTCGCGCATTTTGCATGTCATTAAACATCTAAAAATTTATTATTACTTGCCAATGGCGTTCAATACGACTCTTCGTCAGAAAATAAGGTTTTACACACAGAGTATATGACGATATGGTAACGTTTTGTATTAAATTCCATGTTTTCCCGCCATGACAGTATACAAGAACTGCCAGGCGCTCCCCAGAACGCATCCTTCCCAACAGCCCCTCCGCGCGTCGCCTGCCTACCTGAATACTTCATGTATTGTAATCATTTAACGCGCCTGGGTACGAGGCAGGCGAAACGTAGCCTATTTCATTGTTCCGACAGCATTAGAGCCAATCTCGTTCCCCGAGCCTGCGATCCTTGGGAAGGAAACGAAGGCTCTGGGATAATCCATCTCAGACATACAGAAAACTGTATGTCGACCGAACTGCGCATGCGTTGCCAAATAATAGAGCAAAATATAAATTTCATTTTATGGAGTGAGTTTAGAGTCATTTATCTAAAGTTTTTTGCAACTGTGTTTTGTTTATAAATGTCAGTGCAAAGTATTAATTTATTTCATTCTGGATTGGAAGAAGCGTTAGAGCGACTGGGTAAGGAAAATCTTAAATTGAAAGAGTGTCAATACGAAGCAGTAAAGGCTGTTGTTGTCGACCGGAAAGACACAATTTGTATTTTGCCTACTGGTTATGGAAAGTCCCTTATATACCAGCTTCTTCCCTTCGTCTTTGATACTTACTTGGGTTACGAAAATACTACCTCAAGTGTAATTGTAATTTCGCCACTAAACGCCTTAATGGTCGATCAGATCGCGAAGTTAAAAACGCACATGGATGTCACTGTGTTGAAAGCAATCAGGGAAACTCATGATAGCAGCATGAGGTCGGCAGTGAGATCAACATATGAACGGGTAGTTCGTCCGAGCCAAATAATATTCGCTCATCCTGAAGCCTTGTTGGAGGATAAGAAAATTTTCCAGAGCATTTTGAAATCGCAAGTATATCAAGCTTCTGTGAAAGCTATTGTTGTTGATGAAGCACATCTAGTTGAAGAATGGTAAGAAACTGAAACACTGAGAATTTCATATATTAAATATGTATTAAATATCATATAACATATATGGGCATGTATTGGTCTATAAGTAAAAACTGTATATATTTCATGTTTCAATGGTTGCAACTTTGCATTAGACTGAGTATGACTTGGCATACTTAATCGATGAAAACCAATCATCAGAAATCAAATTGATGGTACTCTATATATATTACTCATTTGATATTGATTGTTATTGATCAATAGAGACCAATCAATAGTCACAAAAAGTCACCAATTTTATCATTATTATTGATTTCTGAAATGTTTGTCAGCAGGGTTTTCAGTTTAGGCCGGTGAACGGCGAATTTCGCCAGACTTTTTCATTCAACCCCACCCAAATTCGCAAGAGCTTTTATGTTTATGTATACATAATTTATGTTAAACATATAATCCATGGGCACGAATGATTGTGAAAGCTGAGGTGCACTAAAGAGGCATAACTTCATTGCCATTAGAAGCATAGCTTCATTGCCATTAGCCAGAGCCTCACACAAAACTGAAAACCCTGTGTCAGGGAGATATTTATCATGTCTCTAAGAAATGGGCACTATATATGCTTTCTAAACTGCTTAAATTGTGTTCCCACTATGCTTTGCGTGCTTAGAGTTTAAGGTTTAAGGTTTTAGACTATATATATATCACATTGAAAAATCTGATTCCTAAATAGTTACCAGAGAGGTACCATATTAGGATTCCTAAATATATAAAACAATAAAATGCATTGAATTAGGTTCACATTGATTTAAGAAAAAAAGCAATGTGATGTGCAACCATGGCAACCCTAGATCAAATATTTTTGTTCATGTGTGTAGGCAGGGATGCCGGAAAGTCGATAATTTGG